ACAGCTCTGGACACACCATCTTACTCCACTGCTGTGGGACAGCAGGAGGCAGCTGGTGACATCTCCAAGTGTGTGCATATCTGAGTATGCTTGCCTGGGTAAATGCACATGCCTGGGTATGCATGTGTAGGTGGGATTGAGTTAGGTCTGTGCGCCTCCTCCCAGCCCCCGGAAGAACTTGCTCCATCAGTGATGCTTGTGGGGGTGGCTGGCTGGCGAGTTACATGTGGCCCCCTTTTCAGAGAGTTTGTCTCAGGTGGGAGAGGAGGCAGAGCATTTGCTGCAGGGAGCAGGAATTCCTCTCTCACTTAGCGGGAGCCATAAATATCTCCCTGTCTGTGACTGGAAATATATATTATAAAGCATGGCTGTCATTTGGGGTTTGTGTGCAATGCTAGGCTCCTTTTGGCTGCTGGAGTTTCTGCTCCAGACCTCCAGTGAAGAGGCAGAACTCTCTTGGAAACATTCACACATGGACACACGTACACATGTTTGCGAACAGGCAGGATCAGGAGAGGAGAGGGGGAAAATGAAGGAGAAGGAAGGTCTGAGAGAGGGGCCCAGAGCCAAGACAGAGAAAAATGACACCAGAAGTGGGATTCCAGAGGGTAAGACAAAGAGCTGAATAAAGGAAGTATGGGGGCTTCAAGGTGGTGCTGGAGGTGGGTGAGAAAGGCAGCACTAGGGGACTTTGTGGCTGTTCCAGGGGATATGGAGAGACCTGAGGAAGAAAGGGCCCCATACTATCAATCACTGAGCCTGGCCCAGGTCTGGGTGCTGAACAAAGCCTCCAGTCTGCAAGCCATTGACACGAGGTGGCTGATGACATGTGTGGATGAATGGGGAGCAGACCCAGACCCAGGTAGCAAATCCCATTGTAGAGCCTTGCTTTGCTTAGCCCACCCAGGCCAACACCAAGACAGAGTCCAGATTCATCACCAGATTCATTCACTTCCCTTCTGGAAGCCTCCACAGTAGCCAGAGCCCTATGGCACCACTGGCAGGTGAGGCCTCTGCCTCAGGAGTATGGGTTGCATGAGTAGCCCAGGACCCCAGAGGAGGGCAGCCAACGGAGGATGCTCAGGTGTGCAACTGGAACCCACTGTGGGCCCAAGACCTGGCTTGGTGCAGGGATTCTGGTGTCTGCCTGCCCTAGACATCCATCCCAGGGCATCTACCCTGGGACGTTGGACACAGTGGTTGGACTTAGTTTTGAGGAGGCTGTGTTTGATGCGAGGTGTGGGAGGAAGCTTAGTGTGGAAGGTGCTCTCTGGTCCTTAGCACCAGGACACAGGAAAACTTTGAGTTGTCTCAGGGTCAAGGGGAGATAGTGCTGCCCCATCCCTCTGTCCCCCCTTCAATATCTCCAGAAAGTGAAGGCAGCTCTGGTCTCTGAAGAGAGGCGCAGGCAGCAGGGTCAGGGTTTCTTCGCTAGCCTCACCCTGAACTGGGGGCGTGCACACAGGGTCCCCACTGCTCTGGTAACCAGGCTGGAGAGAAGGCCAAGGCCGGAAAGGCTGCTAGGTGATGTGGCCCCAAAAGGCTGGGGATTCAGAGTGACTGCCTTGGGGGCATGGGCTGGGTGGGAGAGGATAAAAGATGGAGCCGGGCACCTGCCCACCTTGTGCCAGCCAACAACGTCCCTGCCCCTCCGCTGGCCCACAGGCCACCAGCTGGCCCATTATCCCTGGTGAGAAAACAGGCACTGGAGGGGGTCTTCTGTGCGGCAGGAGCTTGCTCATGCACAAGGCCAGCAGGACTGCCAGGGGAGAGCCACCCCATGCTGGGTCTGGGGCAAGGAGGGGAGGAGGGTGCTGGATAGCAGAGCCCCCTCATGAAGCAGTCAGGTCTATTCCTGTGCTGTTGGCAGGGGGCAGTGCGTGGGGCCTGCGAACAGGAGATAAAGAGTTCAGGCAGAGGGTTTTCTCGCACTAACCATGGATTTGTGTGTTTGTTCAGCTGGTGGCTCTGATAAGCCCCTTCTGCCAGATAAAAGCCGAGCAGCCATGAGGCAGGGCTTGGGGAGGGGTGTCGTAAAGGGGCCTTCCTCCTGTCTGTCCTGAGGCCTGGGGTTATCCACTCCCGGAGGGAGGAACGGAGACAAGGCGCTGGGAGCTGGGATGACAGCTCCTCGCCCCTGGGGGATGCCCAGAGCAGGCCCTGACCTCAGGGCGTGGCTCCCCAAAGAGTCCCAGAGAGCTGGCCTGGCAGCTCCCCACCGCCCTGGGATCCTGTCCACCATGGGCTCAGCAGCCTGTCTGGGCCTTGCAGCCGCTGGCTGGGTTCCTGCCAGCCCCCTTCCCCATCTGTCCAAGGCCTGCCCCTGAGCTGACTGGGTGGATAAGGGCCTGCCCCCATCGTGTCACTTAATGTCACTTAATCAGGGCTCGAGGTCCATTCTCACTGAACCAGTAGAGTCCCTGGGCCTGGGGACATCCGTGGGGGTTTTGGCTGCTTCTATGCCTGTGAGCAGAATGTAGTGTCCCCAGACCCTCCACCTCAGCCTCCCCACCTGGCCCTTGGTGCAGGCTGAGGAGGAAAGGGCACCGTCTGAGGGGCGGCAGGGCCCCAGCCACGGCTGCCGTGCCACAGAGCTGGCCCCTCTGCCTCGGAGCCTGGGTCCAGGTTTCCAGTGTCTCTACCTTTTGTCCTGGAGCTGAGCTGAGTGTGCCGGGGGCTGGTGGTGGCAGTGTTACGGCGGCCGCGGGTCAGGCCGCCAGCGTAAGATGGCTGCCAAGGGCTAAGATGGCTGCCAGCAGCAGGGCAGCGCCCGCAGGCACGTGGCAGCGGTCTCACCGCGGGAGCCTCGCTCCCCATGCTCCTTTACATCCAGCTAATAGTAATAACAGCAGTAACATTCAGGCAGTGTCCTGCTGGAGGATTTCCTGTCTGCTGCGCTCTCCTGGAGCCCATTTGTCTCTGCCTCAGTCGCTGGCCCACCTCCATCCCTTTGTCGGCTCACTCTCCTCTTTCTGTCCTTGGGCCGGGTGTGCGCATGCTCACGGCTTTTGTCACCACCTGACCATTTTCGGGGAGCCAGGACCACTCCCATGGGGTGGACTCCGGGGACTCTTCCGTCTCCCTGGGACTGTGCACACCCAGGCCTGGAGGGCTGGTGGGGTTGAGTTGGTCCCGGGATGGGTGGGGTGGGTAAGAGGGACCTCTGGGCAGCAGAGCCTGGAGCACATGCTGCTTGCCAGGCCCTGCACACTGGTCCTGTGGCTGTGACCTTCTTCAGTTTCAAATCATGGACAGGGCAGGGTGGCCCTGAGAGATGCAGCAGGCTCAGAGCCTGAGTCCAGGGGTGGCCCTAGGGTGGCCTGCCCACTCCTGCCGCCCTTCATCTGCTCACTCACTTCTGGACTGGCTGGGGTTTGAACCAGACCCAGAGGGCCATGAGTGGGCCAGTAGGAGAGAGTGACAAGAAAATTCACACCCACAGGACGCCGTGGCACAGAGGGGTTGCCCTCCCAGGAGCTTGGGAGGATGTCCCAAGGGCTCTCTCCAGAGCAGAGTGCCACTAACACAGAGGGGGCCTGGGGTGGGATTCCCCATCCCTAAACACACCACGGGGGTGAGCACAAAGGGAGGGGAGGAAGGATGCATGCCAAACCAGAGGGGTGAAGGAAGATCCCCCATCAGCACTTTCCTTATTAACCTTTATTTTCTTGATGGATAGCAAGACGAATTGTTTTGGGGAAATAAAAAAAAAATTGTAACAAGGTGAAGTATGGAAGAAGTGGGGCCTGAAACTGTTGTGGGGACAGCCAGTCCTTTCCCACTGGCAGCTAGGACCTTGCCCTGAGCCATGGGAGGGCCTTTGCCCCCAGAGGGCTGCTGTCCCTCCCGCCCCCCCAGCGTCCAGCACTCTTCCGTCTCTCCTGGGTGGCCTCAGGGCACCCTGCCGCCCGTCTCTCAGGCCCGTGCTGTCCCTTAGGAACTTCCTTCTCGGTCCCTCCCCAGGATAAACAGCTTGGCTGTGAGGCCAGTGGGGGCAAACTCCCCGGCCAGCAGGTTGACTCCAGGGTGTGGGCGAGGCCCAGAAGGCAGAGCCCTCCAAAGAGTCAGGCGGAATCCTGTGCTACCCCCATGCTGTTCCCCTGCAAGCAGCTGATTCTTTACCAAATGCCTGCCTTCCTTCTGCCCCACAACCTGCCCTGGCCCCCCTCCACCATCCTCTCACCAGCTGTCGTGCCTGGGCAGGCATTCGGGAGGTCCCCGTTGTGTCCCTGGCACACAAAGCTTTGAGGACATGGGGGGCAGGGGTGGGGGGCTTTCCCAAGCTCAGCAAAATATTCACACACACACTCCACCCTGCCCCCAGCCCTCTGCGAGCTCCCACTGCACAATGGGCCCTTGTCTCGGGGCTCCCTCTGAGCAGCTGTGGCACTGGGGCATGAGACAGCACAGACAGGCTGGCACAGAACGGGTGGCGGCGTCAGGGCAAACCTCCCCGCTCTGTGTTGCCAGGCTTCGCCTGTAAGCATAAAGGTGAGGTGGGGGTGGTGCAGGCAGACAGGAATGGCTCTAACTCATGAGGTGAGGGAAGGAAGGGGCTGCTCTTCTGGGTGAGCTGGGTGGGCAACCTGGGACCCTTGGGTCCCTCCCAGCTGTGTGAAGAGGTGATCGTTGGCTTCTCTCCTGGGCACCCTCCTTGCTCTGACTCTTACTGAGTGCTGCTCACCCACAGATGACTTTGCCCCCAGGGCATATTGGGTGATGTCTAGAGATAGTTTTGGTTGCCACAAAGGGTGCTACTGGCATCTAGTGGGTAGAGGCCAGGGAGCTGCCACATACACTACAGTGCCCAGGGTGGCCCCCACACACAGAATGACCCCAGCCTGGTGTTACTGTACTTCCTTGCCCCACACTCCCCAGGTCTCCCAGGGCTGCTTGGAGAGTAGGTGTGAAGGTATTTACAGGGCTGGAGGGGCAGGTGCTCAGCTGGTGTTTGTGGGGCACTTTGGTCTTTACCCATCTCCCACTTGTGTCTCCTGCAGAATCCGGACAATCAGATAGTTCAAACCAGCAAGGAGATGCGGACATCAAACCACTGCCCAACGGTCAGTGCTCCCTGCCCCTGCCCGTCTGAGCCTAGCCGCCACACCCTGCTCTGCCCCACAGAGCTCTCCTCTGTCCGCCAACACCCTGGCCTCCCACCCAGGTTCTCCCCCTTTACCCAGCTTTGCCCCAAGGGGAGAGGGCTCATATGGAGCACATCTCCTCTTTGGAATAGATGAGCAGGCACCCAAGGGCCAGCCTGTGCCTGGGACCGGCAACTTGGGAGCAAATGAGTCTCAGTGAGGGTGGGAAGAGCTCCCACCAGGCTGGGAGAAACAAACAGGCAGCCTCTCCTGGCCTTACCTAACCTATTCACTTGTCCTCTCCACTCTTCAGGGCACTTAAGTTTCCAGGACTGTTTTGTGACTTCCGGGGTCTGGAATGTGACGGAGCTGGTGAGAGTATCACAGAGTAAGTGAGTCCTTCCTTCTGGGCTGGGGCTGAGTCCCTCAGAGGCTGGGGGGGCGGGGGGGACTTGGACCCCATGCAGGTCTTAGTGAGGGTACAGACAGGGTTTCCTGGGACACTCTGCCCTTTAGACTGGGCCAGGTGGAGCAGAGGTGTCCAGAGAGCCCCATCACTGATTTCTGCTGCTCTGGAGGAAAAAAAATCACAACCAAGGGCTCTTCCCCAAAGACCCCAGCCAGGAGGAAGTTGCCTCGGCAACCTTCCCAGTGAACTCACCCTGGGGCTTCTTGGGAACTGCTCACGGCAACAAAACAGGCCCCCTTGGGCCTGCCACACCTTCCAGACCTCACCACCCTCTCCCTTCTTCATCCCAGCTCCTGTTGCGACAGCATCAGGGCCCAACTTCTCGCTGGCAGACCTGGAGAGTCCCAGCTACTACAACATAAACCAAGTGACCCTGGGGCGGCGGTCCATCACCTCCCCTCCTTCCACCAGGTGAGCCCAGCACCACAGTCTTGCTTCCTGCCCCAGGCTATCTCAGGCGCTGTGAGCAGGTGGATGGCCTTGGCTTGGTGCTTCAGAAAGTCACTCCTTATTGAGGGCATTGGCGCCAGAGCTGCCTGGACCCACCATGCTGAGCTCCCTGCTTTGTGCTGCTGCTGTGCACTGGGCCCTGGGGACATAAGCCCAAACAAGGTACAGCTGTGCCTGGAAGGCGCTCCCAGTGGGGATCTCAGAAGGCCTCTCTCTTGGGGATATGACTTCTGAGCCTAGACCAACGGGGGCTGGTATGGGCACAGGGTGGATGCTCGAGGAAGAGAGAGCAGCCTCCATTCCAACTGAGACTAGACGAGCTGGTGGGACGCCCACAGAGGGCTGCAGAGGCCAGAGGAAGGCGTTTAGACTTAAAACCTGCTGAAGGGTTTTAAGTAGGAGATGCTGGGGATGTGCATTCCAGAAAGTACCCTCCAGCTGCTGTGTGCATGGGCAGGACTGACAGCCACTTATAGGCCATCCCACCAGGCTGGGATAAAGGAGTGGCATGAGAGGGAGGGATGGAGTTGAGAGATGTTTGGGAGGTGGGTACAGTTGGCCCTGGTCAGGGCCAGTTGTGCAGGGCAGGGTAGCATCCTGTCCTTTTTGAAAACACTTGGATGTTTAGTTCATTATGAAGTTTTAGGAAACCATTTTGATTTGTTAAAATACTGCATTAAAATATTATAATATTTCTATATTTACTATTTTAACAAAAAATAATGTAATATCTTGATGTCTGAGTTTTGTGGCACTCCCTGCATTTTGTCCCCAGAAGCTCCCTGGGGACTGATGCTGAATAGAGGGCGGGGCTGAGGAAGCAGTTAAGGGTTTTGCTACCTTCCACATGGGCAGCTCAGTGAATCGTGGTATCACCACCCAGAAGGGGCTTGAGGAGGGGCAGCAGGCCAGCTGGGCCCAAGGGGCTCTAAGGCGGGTACAGGGGTGGGCACACAGTGAGTGCCCCAAAGTGCTGCTGTCAGCAGGCACTGGCTCTCCACACTGAGGGGCATCAGTGCAGGCTTCCTTGGTTTGAGTGCCTGTGTCTTGGCCCACCCTTGGCACACCTGATCCCTTTCCTCCTTCCCCAGCACCACCAAGCGCCCCAAGTCCATTGATGACAGCGAGATGGAGAGCCCTGTTGATGACGTCTTCTATCCTGGGACAGGCCGCTCCCCAGCGGCTGGCAGCAGCCAGTCCAGTGGGTGGCCCAACGATGTGGATGCAGGTATGGCACTGTGGGGCCAACCCAGAGCCTCCTCTTCCCTGGCGAGCCTCCCACCAGTTCCATTGTTGTCACTGTCACTGTCGGTGGCACTACCTATCTTCTCGCCTGCTCATCTTCCAGAAGAGCGCAGACCAGACCGGAGGAGGGAGCAGAGGCAAGGAGCTGGGCTGTCACTGTGTGGACAGAAGAGCCCACAGGCATGGAGAGAGGAGAGCAGAACCTCCTTGGCCGCCTCCTCTTGGTATTTCTCTAGAGAGGTTGTGCGCACGCATGCTGTGTGGGGCACAGGTCTGTCTGAGCCCTGTGGTCTTCATGGTTTAGAGCAGTTTGTCCATCTGGGTGCTGATGACCTCTGGGTCCGCATGGTCTCTGGTGTGGCCATCTGCAACACTGTAGGGTTTTGAGCAGCAGATCTGGCCTCCACCCACCAGATGCCAGTCATAACCACCCCTGACCCAGGTGTAATGATCAAAATTGTCTCCAGACATTGCTGAATATCCCTGGGGAGGACCAGGGGGCAGATCTTCCTCAGTTGAGAACTGCTGATCTGAAGGGCCCAGCATCGCAGAGGAGATAAAGTCTAATAAGGAATGAGCAGAATCATTTTTGACTGAACAGGGAAACTAGTGGAGGGCAAGGTCTGAAGGAAGCCAGCTCAGTTCTCTCAATCTCCTCCAACCATCCCTCTTTCCTGGTGAACCCACCCACCTTTACCTCCAGTCTTGACAGGAAGTGTGGGAAGCTTCCATGTGGAATAGAGTGAGATCTTATATGCTTGTGTGCGTGTGTGCATGTATTTATGTATGTATGAGGAGGCTGGCTGCAGGATATTTCTGCCTGACACACTGGTGATACAGCTGTGTGTGTCCTTGAGGTGCAGGGGTCTTGGGGTCAGAGAGTAAAGACCCCATGTGTGGGGGTGTCGACAGGGAGCACCTGCTCTGGTCAAGCCTGGGGACAGGGGCTTCACTCTCCAGCACAGGAAGGTGAGGATCTGACTAGATGGCGCTTTGCCTAGTGTTTTCCAGGTGTCCCCTCCTGGGAAGGGCCAGGTGGATGGGCAGGGTCCAAGGCTGGGGAAGAAGCAAGAAAAACGGGCTGGGAGTGCTCCTGCTCTCCTGCCGCCCTGCCACAGCCCCTGGGAGGAGGAGAGGCCGCTCCTGCCTCCCAGCCCTGGCTGGAGGAGTGGGCTCTGGACCACCAGCAAGGCTCTCATCTTTGGGACAGTACTCCAGCAGGACCTGAGTGCCTAGTGAGACCCTCCTGGCGTCTCCTCTTGGCAACTGGGGACCTAGGCCAGCACAGCCCAGATTCCCTGGGGCAACCCTGGGAGGCTGAGAAAGGGGTGAGAAAGCCCTGAAGACTCCTAGCCAGGGCCTCAGTTAAGTGACTGTTTCCTCCAGGACTCAGGTGCCTTGAGGACACTTCAATGGCTGTCTCCCCAGGCCCTTCTGCCCAGACCCAGGGTCCCAAGGAGCCTCCTCTCCCCAGCCCCTGCCCTCTCCTTTCTCAGGTGTCTGCTCCTGCACCGCCATCCCTGCTCCTTCCAGCTGTCCTGCCTCGCACACCCTGTCCTCCTGCAGCAACAGCTCCCTTGCTTTCCCCTCCCCCTCCCTCCATATGGCCCTTCACCACATTGTTTCCCTGTGCTGCGACAAATCGCCAATTAAGCAGCCCAGCTGCAGGACCAGGAACAGCTGGGGAGGCGCTGTGCGGCCTCAGGGACAGCTGCGCACAGCTGGTGGGGGTCCTCCCACCCCACCATGCCAGCTATCAGGTGGCACACAGCTGCTGCCAGATAACACCTCTGCTGGCGGCTGGGAGTTCGCCCTTCCCCCACATCTTCCCTCTGCGGTTGAGGCTGCTCTTACTGCTCTGTTCTGTAGCCCCCCAGCTCCCACCCAAACTAACTCTACTTGTGCCTCAAAGATGGCAGCTCTGGAGATTCACCCCACTCTACCTTACCCCTCCCATCCTGGGCACAGCCTTGAGACTCAGCCCAGAACAGCAGGCAAGGAGCTCCCCTGGGAGACCTAGCCCTGGGGTCCTGCTTGTCATAGCATCATTTGGACATCATGCCAGCTGGGCACAGAGATGACCTTGGGTGGCAGCATCAGACTTCTACAGGCAGAGCTCCAGTGGGGTGTTCTCTGTGCCCTGTCTCCTGCTGAATGCCACCCCACCTCCAACAAAAGCAAAGCCCTGAAATGACCCATCGCACAACAGCCCAGCCTCGGGGTCTTCCGGATAGGGAGTCCTCTCCCATCCAGCTCTGCCCCCAGCGCCTGCTCAGGCCCTTCAGCCACTCCCTATTCTCTTGCTGGGTGTTGTATGCCCTTGGTGGTCCTTCCCAAGGGCCGCTGGCTGTGCTGTCCCTTCTGGAGGGAGCCCTGGCTTCCCACCAGAGCCTCTCACAGCCTAGAGAGCCACAGAGCAGACCCAGCCTGTCCCTTCTTGGGCCCCCTCACTCTGAAGCTGGCTCCCTGGGGCTCCTCTGCACAGCTTCCTGGCCCACCCCTGCGTCCCGCTGTCCCCTTGCCCAGTGCACCCAAGGGCTTCACTTTCCTTTCCTGTCAGAAGCACCCATGGCCCTGGGTATGCAGGGCCTGAGAAATGGCCAGGACGGGTAGAGGAGGCAGGAGGTAGTGGTGAAGGGTGAGGGGAAGGCGGCGGAGAGAAGGAGCAAGCTGCTGGCTTCCCACCTCGCCTGCTCCCACCCAGCCCAGCTAAACCTGCCCTGTGTTGCTGATTCCTCCCCCCAGGCCCGGCTTCTCTAAAGAAGTCAGGAAAGCTGGACTTCTGCAGTGCCCTCTCCTCTCAGGGCGGCTCCCCACGCATGGCTTTCACTCACCACCCGCTGCCTGTGCTTGCTGGAGTCAGACCAGGTGAGAGACGGGCCAGGTGGGGCCGTGGGAGGTGGCAGAGCACTGAGGGGCAGTGTGGCTATGAGGTGAAGGGGTCAAGGGGCGGCCTGGTCTCTGAGTGGGCTGTGGTGGCAGCAGTGGGCATGGGATGGGCCCTCCCTCCAAGGCAGCGCCTCCTCAAGTACCAGGCCTGGCCCTGGGCATTCTCTCACATGCTTCTCACTTGCTGTGGACACACGTGTGCCGAGCGTGGGCATGACTACATGTGTACTTGCTTACGTTGCACAGCCCAGATTCCCTGGGGCAACCCTGGGAGGCTGAGAAAGGGGTGAGAAAGCCCTGAAGACTCCTAGCCAGGGCCTCAGTTAAGTGACTGTTTCCTCCAGGACTCAGGTGCCTTGAGGACACTTCAATGGCTGTCTCCCCAGGCCCTTCTGCCCAGACCCAGGGTCCCAAGGAGCCTCCTCTCCCCAGCCCCTGCCCTCTCCTTTCTCAGGTGTCTGCTCCTGCACCGCCATCCCTGCTCCTTCCAGCTGTCCTGCCTCGCACACCCTGTCCTCCTGCAGCAACAGCTCCCTTGCTTTCCCCTCCCCCTCCCTCCATATGGCCCTTCACCACATTGTTTCCCTGTGCTGCGACAAATCGCCAATTAAGCAGCCCAGCTGCAGGACCAGGAACAGCTGGGGAGGCGCTGTGCGGCCTCAGGGACAGCTGCGCACAGCTGGTGGGGGTCCTCCCACCCCACCATGCCAGCTATCAGGTGGCACACAGCTGCTGCCAGATAACACCTCTGCTGGCGGCTGGGAGTTCGCCCTTCCCCCACATCTTCCCTCTGCGGTTGAGGCTGCTCTTACTGCTCTGTTCTGTAGCCCCCCAGCTCCCACCCAAACTAACTCTACTTGTGCCTCAAAGATGGCAGCTCTGGAGATTCACCCCACTCTACCTTACCCCTCCCATCCTGGGCACAGCCTTGAGACTCAGCCCAGAACAGCAGGCAAGGAGCTCCCCTGGGAGACCTAGCCCTGGGGTCCTGCTTGTCATAGCATCATTTGGACATCATGCCAGCTGGGCACAGAGATGACCTTGGGTGGCAGCATCAGACTTCTACAGGCAGAGCTCCAGTGGGGTGTTCTCTGTGCCCTGTCTCCTGCTGAATGCCACCCCACCTCCAACAAAAGCAAAGCCCTGAAATGACCCATCGCACAACAGCCCAGCCTCGGGGTCTTCCGGATAGGGAGTCCTCTCCCATCCAGCTCTGCCCCCAGCGCCTGCTCAGGCCCTTCAGCCACTCCCTATTCTCTTGCTGGGTGTTGTATGCCCTTGGTGGTCCTTCCCAAGGGCCGCTGGCTGTGCTGTCCCTTCTGGAGGGAGCCCTGGCTTCCCACCAGAGCCTCTCACAGCCTAGAGAGCCACAGAGCAGACCCAGCCTGTCCCTTCTTGGGCCCCCTCACTCTGAAGCTGGCTCCCTGGGGCTCCTCTGCACAGCTTCCTGGCCCACCCCTGCGTCCCGCTGTCCCCTTGCCCAGTGCACCCAAGGGCTTCACTTTCCTTTCCTGTCAGAAGCACCCATGGCCCTGGGTATGCAGGGCCTGAGAAATGGCCAGGACGGGTAGAGGAGGCAGGAGGTAGTGGTGAAGGGTGAGGGGAAGGCGGCGGAGAGAAGGAGCAAGCTGCTGGCTTCCCACCTCGCCTGCTCCCACCCAGCCCAGCTAAACCTGCCCTGTGTTGCTGATTCCTCCCCCCAGGCCCGGCTTCTCTAAAGAAGTCAGGAAAGCTGGACTTCTGCAGTGCCCTCTCCTCTCAGGGCGGCTCCCCACGCATGGCTTTCACTCACCACCCGCTGCCTGTGCTTGCTGGAGTCAGACCAGGTGAGAGACGGGCCAGGTGGGGCCGTGGGAGGTGGCAGAGCACTGAGGGGCAGTGTGGCTATGAGGTGAAGGGGTCAAGGGGCGGCCTGGTCTCTGAGTGGGCTGTGGTGGCAGCAGTGGGCATGGGATGGGCCCTCCCTCCAAGGCAGCGCCTCCTCAAGTACCAGGCCTGGCCCTGGGCATTCTCTCACATGCTTCTCACTTGCTGTGGACACACGTGTGCCGAGCGTGGGCATGACTACATGTGTACTTGCTTACGTGTGTGCATGTGTGTGCCTGGGCGTATGTGTGTAAGGCACAGGTGTGTCCTCTGACTGCAGAGGCCTCAGGTCCACTCCAGCACAGCTCCCCTCTCCTCCCGCCAGCTGTGCGTGGGAAGGTACAGGCCTTTCCCTCTGCCCCCTGCAGCTCCTCTCTCCCAGCTCCTGGCCCAGCCCAGGTTGGTGTGGGGCATGGATTGACAAGAGCTCTTGTAGGAGCCCAGGCTCCCTTCTTAGGGCCTCCCTGCCCTTGTCCAAAAGTGAAGGGGTAGGCCCCGGGCACGGCGGTGCCTGAACTGCTTGCTGGGCAAGGGAGCTGCCTGCTGCCTTGAGGGCTCTTGCTTCAGACTCACTGCCTAGAGGTGCCTGCAGGGTGCACACCTCAGTGCTCCTAGGGGACGGAGTCAGGCAGGAGAGGTTGGAGCTGAGGCTTCAGCTCACCACTCACTCACGTGCTTCTTCCCTCCCTCGTTACTCTTCTGGCAGAAAGAGGCCTGGACTTTTCCGGGACACTGCCCTGTGTCTGCCTGCCACCTCCTGGGCCCTTCCGTAAGACACAGAACAGCGAGGTTCACCCTCCCAGCTTCCTCCTCAAGGCCTCCTGGCTGGGAGCCCAGAGGCACCCCGCAGGGGCAGGGCGTGGTGGCCGCAAGGTGGGGGCAGGGACCCCAGGCCCTCAGCCGGAGCGCAGCAGGCCCAGCTCCACTCAGCTTTTATGAACTCCAGAGTGAAGCCAAGTTTCCTTTGCTCCCTAATGAAACCAAGAGTGAGAGCGAGCTGATTGGAAACAGACAGGAGGGGGAGGACTGCGCCAGGGGAGAGCTGGGGCCTGCGGTGGGTGGGAGCTGTGCATTCGAAGGCCGTGAGGCCCAGCACACAGAAATGTGGCCTGGGTAGCAGCAGCCAGGTGTACACCCACTGGCACACAGGAGCCGGGGTATGCGTCTCAGGGGCCGTAACCAGGAGCCATCTGCCTCCCTGTGCCTTAGCCAGGCTCCCATCCAGGCCTGGGACTGGGCAGGCTGGGCTACCAGCAGGCCCGCACCATGGCGCAAATGTCGGGGTACCAAAAACCTCAGTCATCAACATAAATAGGAATTTAGTGCAATATTTTAACAAATTAAAACTATTGCAAAAGACACACAATGAGCAAATACCAACATTTCAACAAAAAATGAGAGCAACCTTGCACTTGCATGATCCTGCCTCACTCTCCTCACCTTAACCCCAGCCCTGGTTCCAATCAAATTTGATTTGTAAAGACAAGCAGCTGGCCTGCAAGCCCTGGTTTGCCAATGTGACTTTTTTTAATATTGCCTTAAACTGTTACTACCCTGGTTACTGAGATTTGTAGTGCCAGAGGCCAGTGCCTCACTCTTTTCCCTTGAGTCCAGCCCTTGCCTCATTCTCCCTTTGCCTCTGGACCCTCCGTGCTCTGACCAGCAGCTGCCCTCATCTTCTGTCCGTCCCCTGCCCCCTAGGCCCTGACGCCCTTCTCTTCCTGCCCACATGCATGCAGGGAGCCCTCGGGCCACCGCGTCAGCACTGCATTTCCCCTCCACATCCATCATCCAGCAGTCAAGCCCGTACTTCACGCACCCGACCATCCGCTACCACCACCACCACGGGCAGGACTCGCTGAAGGAGTTTGTGCAGTTTGTGTGCTCGGACGGCTCCGGCCAGGCCACCGGACAGGTGAGTCCAGGGAGCCCCAAGGAGCCCCACTACAGCTCATCTCTGCGTCTGTCTGTCTGGAGGGCTCATGGGGAGAGAGCCCAAAAGCTAGAAACTCACCTAGGCCTGGAGCAGCAGAGAGCCAGTAGTGCCGAACTCCTCAATCTTCTGGGTCTGGGGGTAGGGGTCTCTGTATCACTTGGGGTCCTGTCACAGTCCAGAGAAGGGGGGACAGAAGCTGTCTTTGCTCGGGCTCCTTGGCCTCCCTGCAGTCTCTGTTCCCCCAGTAGGAGTGGACACATGATCTGTCCAGTCCCAGGCCTGGGCCCTTCATTTCCTAACACCCTTCTTAAACCTCAGGGCCACAAGGATTTGTTAGGTCCTAGACCAACAAAGTTTCCCAACCTTGGCACAACTGACATTTGGGGCTATTCATTCTCTGTTGTCTGGGGACATCCTGTGTACTGTGGGGTGTCAAGCAGCATGCCTTGCCCCTACCCACTGAGGCCAGTGGCACCTCTGCAGTCGTGATGATCAAGAATATATCTCTGGACTTCAGTGCACCTTGGGGTGCGTCATCATCCCAGGTGAGAAGTCTGGACAGAGGGAAGGCCCCTTTCCACAGGGGCTAGCACAGAGACTCCTGTTGGCAGGACTCTTAAGGTGTTCTCAGGTCAGTTATGGCTTTGGAGTAAAGCACTTTTGCTCCTCAGTTTGGGAGAGAGACTGGCTCTCTGTGCAGCTCTGCAGCCTGCTGCCCTTCTCCATCAGCAAGCCTCAGGGCCTGGTCACTAATGAGCAGACACGTGGGGCCACTCAGCAAAGGAATTATCCCAGACAGAGGGATGGGCCAGAGGTGACTCTTCAGTGGGAAAGTGGTCTTCACTAAGTCCTTGGGAGGCCACTCTGGATTGGAACACAATGTTGTCTAGACCTCTCGGAAAATTCTGGAGTCCCAGCAGCATGCTGCTGTATCAGAAGGCCGAGCCCCTCTCTCCTGAGCCACTCCAGCCTGGAGGTTGCTGTGAGAGGTCAGGAGGGGAGTATGCTCAAAGGCCATGCTGGGGCAGGGCTATCAGAAGCCCATGGCAGAGGCAGCCCAAGTAGAGCAGTGGCTGGCCCTCAGCTATTTAGTCTAGTGCTGCCGAGGGCACCCTGCACAGAGCAGGCATTTGCTAAATGCTGGCGTATTGATGTGGGACAGGGCTGCCATGCAGGTTTTTTGCTCTCGCTGTCCAAAACAGAAGCCTGTCCTCTTCCCTCTCTCCTGCTCTCCTTCCTTCTGCTGTCCTCATTTCCTTTTTCCCTTTGCCCCGTGAGGGTTTCTCTTGCTGGCTCTGCAGCTCCTTAGCACGCTCAGAGCCTTGCCCGCCTCTCTAGACAAACTCTGTCTACTTCCAGGGACATGAAGGGAAAAGTGAACATGACCCCCAACAGCTACTGTACTTACTTCAGAGAACTGGCAGAGGCTACAGGATCTGCCAGCCTCTGTGCCAGCTCCCAAGGGGCCTGGGGTCTGGAATATAGATTAAAGAGGTCAGGAGTCCTGCCTTGCCTCCTTCTCACCTGCAGAGGTGGTTGGGATTTATAATCAAAATGAGACTGACTGGGGAGACCAGTTTAGACCAAAGAGTCAAACTTAACCCATAGGACCCTCAAGAGTATGGGTTAATCTATCCCTGAGCATCCTGATGGCTAGATCCTGAACCTCTCCCTTGACCATTCAAGATTAAGGACTCACTTTGGGCTACACAGTTTTCTTCTTGAGGCAGGTGCTTACTCACAGTAGACCACAGACAAAATACTGCAGACACCTTCACCTGTCAGATGAAAGCGAGGGGCTATCCCAGCCTCTAGGGTCCTTCTAGCTCCTTACCCTACCACAGACAGTGGGATAAACAGCCACTCTGGCTAAACAGAGAGGACAGCCCAGCTGGATTTCCTCTTGTGGCCCATTGTGCCCAAAAGGGGGAGGGTGTCTACAGTAAGCATGCTTAATGAGGCTTAGTTTCTGAAAGGAGGCTGGAGACAGAGGAGCTTTGGAGGAAGAGAGAGCCAGAAGCCCCAGCTCTGCAGCTGACCTGGAGGCAGGGAGTAGCGATACCAGGTTATGCTTGTTCCGGGGCCACGTCCAGAGCAGTTCTCAGTCCTAGCACACCCGAGAGTCACCTGGAGGCCTCACTAACACAGACGTGGCTGGGCCTCACCTCATTCTGATTCAGCAGGTCTGGGATGGGGCTGAGAATCTGCATTCCTCCCCAAGTTCCCACATGGTTGCTGCTCCTTCTGGTCAGCGGACCCACTTTGAGAACCACTGATCTAGAGCCTAGAGAAGTAAATCCCTAACCTCCTTGAGAATCTGAAGTTGCAGAGCATCTTTACAGAAAAACACATGCAGACAAAAATTTTATGAACAATTTGCAGAAAGGTTCCCAGGCAACCTTATGGTTCTTCCTCAGACCTCAGCGCAAGGGGCCTGATGGGGAAGAACCAAATCAGTAAAGGCCAAGGCCAGATGGACACCACTCAGCGGAGGAGATGTAAAGCACAGAACAAGGATGCCTGGCTAGCTTTTATTTCTGGCAGAGAGAAGAGACCACCAAGCAAACATGCTGGAGCAGTCATGGGCGCCGTGGGCAAGTGTGACTCTGGGAGGCGGGAAGCCTGGTTCTAGCTCAGCTTCAACCAGAACAGCCAGGCCTACATCTTCACCTGTCAGATGAAAGCTAGGGGCTATCCCAGCCTCTAGGTTCCTTCTAGCTCTTAACTCACAAGGTTTTAAGGCATCGCAAAGCCATGAGGCCTTGAGATTTTTAAAACCTAAACTTGTACCTCAACCAGAGCTGAGACATCCTAGCTGGGTTGGAAGTTGCTTCCAAGGAACTGAATGTTGTAAATCAGTGGGTTTCGACGTCTGGCCATATCAGGCTGGGATTAGGTTTATCAGGTGGGATTAGGGATTTAGATGCTCCTGGGGGAGACAGGATCCAAGAACTAGAAGGAAGCAGAAGCAACCCTGTGGGAGCAAGGGCTGCCTGGAAAGCCCCTGTGTCCCAGCCCCCCAGGAGCCTAAGCTCAGGATGGCCTGCAAGAACAAGTGAGGCCAGAATCTATTGGGATCCTTCCATTTCCTGCCCTGATGGAAGAACAAAATAGGGATCAGAGAGGCTGTGGGAGTGAGGGAAGGCAGTTGCCATTTGTATCTCAGCATTATACCTGCAGAGCCCTCTGGAGTTCCATTCTGTTGCTTGGAACGGAAATGTCCATTACTGAAATGACATCTGGCACACAAGGTCTACAGCTCAGGACATATAGGGATCAGAAGCCATTGCTTGCTTTTGTCAGGGGTCTCTTTTGTCAGGGCAGGGAAGACAAAGTAAAGGGAACCATTTGGAAAGACAATGTCCGACATGGGTGCTGGTCATTAGAGGGAAGGATGATGGGCAGAACAGCCAGTGTTCAAGAGGGCGAGGCCTGCACATGTCAGTCAGGGAGCTCTGTTGTTTTAAAATGGTGCAGGATGGACTAGTCCACTCAACTCAAGTCAGTGGGACTTTAGTGCTACATGCTTGGGCCATACAGTGGTGAAGTTCTGTGGGCTTGTTGGGGAGCCTGGGAGGTAGTCTACCTCAGAGGCTCCAGTGGAGGTCAAGAGCATTCTTGGAAAAACAGTTCAGAGAGAGATGGATGGTGGTTCAGGGAATCTGGCTGGTCCCTACATTGGGGACAGTGTTTTCTGAGCAAGCCTTGAAGGGTGTGGCAAAAGGTGTTCTGGCACAGAGGGTTCTGCAGCAAGCAAGGGCACAGCCCTGCCTGCTTAGACCAGGTTCTAGAAACGTCAGTCAGTTTGCAATAGAAAGTACTTGGTGGGAGGGAGTATAGGGGCATGAGTAGTGGGAGACCCTCCCCACCCCAGGCTCCAACATGGAGGCCTAAATGCCCGACTGGGAAAGTTATATTTTATGTCAGATGCAGTCAGAGTTGTGGAAGGTTTCAGGGATGAAAGAAGACTGAGATCCTTTGGATGTGGGGGAAGAGTTGATGAAGCTGCTGAAAAGAATCCATAGGATCTCAGGTGTCAGACAAGCATCTCTGTGAATTTCAGGCATTGCCAGTTCCAACTGGGTGACTTTGGATGAATCATTTAACTGCACAGAGCCTCAGTTTCCCCAATTGTGAAAAGGGGAAAACAGCTTTCTTTGCAGCAGTGTTTCCCAGCCATGGCACTATTAATATTTGGACCGATAGGCCTTTGGACTGGGGCCACCATGCTCATTGTAGAGTGTTGAACGGCTTCCCCTGGCCTCCATCCTCAAGATGCCAGTAGCAACCCCCAAAGTGTGAAAATTAAAATGTCTTCAGACATTGTCATTGCCCCCTGGGGGGAAGAATCTCCCCCAAGAGAAAATTGCTGCCCTACAGCATGGTTGGAGTGTTGGACACATGAGAAAAGTGCTTGGTGCAGAGCAGGGCACCAAGGCGCTGAGCCCGTGAGCTCACTGTCCACACAGGGGAGACCCCTTAGGAGTCTCACTGTCATGGCCCAGGCAGGACCAGTGAAAGTAGAAAGAGGGGCTGCCTGAAGACATCAAGGGAGTGGGCTCTACAGGGTTCACCTACCAACAGGAGGAGCACAGGAACCTCCCAGGGTCTCACACCTGGGTGGCTGGAGGGCAGAACTTTGTCCCACAGGAGAGGGGCCAGTTTAGGACAAAGTACTCTGTCCCAGCCCCCCACACCTGGACTGCAGGAGGTCATGGAGGGCCCTGCTCAGAGCTCCAGGGCGGTCTCTCCAGGGAAGCTGTGCCTGCAAGAAGCCAGGGGCCTCCAGCCTTCTCTGTGGTACCTACGTCCCCTGAAACCCAAAGGTTGGCACATGCAAGACCATGCACAGGGCCTGGAGAAGGAGACTTGAGTTTGAGGCACAAGAGGGAATAAAGGATGAGGAATCGATCTGGCGACCAGGCTTCCAAGGGCGTTGTACAGGGAAGTCTGCTGGAAGAACCTCGAGGGATCTGGAGCTGGCAGCAATGGATTTTCCTCCCAGTTGGTTCTGTAGCAAATAGCGTCCCACCATTCTCAGGCTGCGGGAGCCAAGGGCCAGCCCCTTCCCCTGCAATTGGTGTTCCCCTGAGGCCATGATGTGGCAAGGATGCTGGCTGGCCTGCCGTCCTCAGTTGGGTACACCAGCCCCACCCCAGAGCGGGGCACGTGTGTGTTTTTCGGGACAGTGGGGGGGGCGAGCTGATGTACCTTTCCTGTCATGGGAGAAGGTTTTCAAGAGCGTGAGCATTCTGGGTGCAGCTGCTTGTACGGCTGAATGGCATGTTTTGGTACCTAAAACATGTTCCCTAGGATATGACAAACCACCCGCCGGACACCCCCTCCCTCCCTCCCACAACTTCAAAAGAGAACCACACACAC